ACGCAACCCTCCACTTTTTCTCTTTAACCTTCAACTAAATTAACAATGCAAAACAAACAATGAAAATAGCTATGAATACTAGAAAGACGAGTTGAGTTCTACTTACAAAGAAAATTAACTTTTATTTCTAATGACTTAAGCATTAATGGACTCTATATATATTTTAGTACAATCACAAGCTTTCAATTAGCTAGGAGCATGAGTTGTCCACAATAATCCAATTATCTGAGAACTTAAAGATTGCTCTTTAGCATTCACATCAACGACCTTAAAGAAATATACAAAAGGAACATCAAAATTAATATAATTTCATTATCTTTTTTTGTGATATTAATGATCAAATGAAGTCCTCGATTAGTTTTAGGATCAAGCCTTTAGAACACAAAAATTTCACAAGCATAAATTTGATGAGAAATGCTAGTGTTATTATTTGTGATAACTTTAAAATTCACTTTGACAAACTAAGCTTCGAAAAATATAGAAAAAAATTTGTTCATAACGAAAGTGAAGAGAAATGAAAAAAGGGAACAACCCTTATGAAGTCTTGAGGAGGATGACAAATAACTTCTTAATAGCTTATTAATAATCACATACCAATGAACATTTAATGTACCTCAAATAATTGAATTAATAAAGGTATTATCAAATCACAAGCCTTTTATTTTATTACATGCAAAAATAAGATTTTCCTTACTAAAGGCTTTCTCATTATCACTTTTAGTTAAAAATTTCAGGAGCACTTAGAGAATGAAATTCATGAAGAAGTTCATTTTAAAAGAATGGCATTGTCAAATATATCCCTCCAATATATAACTGTAGGTTAAGGACCATTATGGAGCTTTGGAAGCAAAGTTTTTTCCTACCAATAATGAGTTTAGTGATAACATTTTAGATGGTGTTATATAAGGTTATCACTCTATAGACACATAATATTACCTTATGTGCATTTATATGATCAAGGTTATAGTAGAATGCTTAGTCAAATTTTAAATCTTGAATGAATAGAGCTAGGAACAAATAACATTAAAAAATGGGGAGCAAGTGATTTTTTAAATATCTTTAAAGAACATGAAAGTGAATTTCTAAACTTAAAGAGCTTTGTCTGGCCAAAAGTAAAAATAACAAGCTTGTTATCCTTATAATGAAACCAACCATAAGATGGGTGCTAGTTTTCAAGTAGAGTGTGTAATATATTAGAAAGGCATAAAAATATATTGAGATTACTATTTTTATCTCTTAGAAAAATAGAGGAAAGGTAAAGACTTTTGAAGGAATATCATATTGAAACCAAAAAACTCTAGACATGCATGTTGCCACTTTAATGTATTTTGAATTCCTAATTTCTATATTTATTTTAATATAAAAAAGTTAATATCATTTTCATATTAAAGAAGCCATGAGCATTTTTCACGTTGCCTTAACAACATATTCAAATGATTTGTGGTGTTAAACGTTGTTTATTATTTGTGAAGATCATTATGAAGAAGGGGTGGATTAAGAGGTACCTCTTTGAATCTTGAAAATTTTTTCATTCACCCCACTTGAAATTAAAAATAGTATCTAATAAGTGCGTGTAAGAACCCAAACTAACTACTTTAAGAAAAAATCTTAATATTATAAAGTCTATTGCTCAAGAAAAAAATAAAATCATCCTAAAAATTGATATCCCAAGTTACAAATAATTTCATGGCACTTTAGAAATTTTCTTCAATAAATATTATACATAAATCTACATTTCACAGTGGTGGCCTTTCCTAAATAAATTAGAATATGAGACTGATATGAGGATAAAAAGGCTAAGAGCTTCTAAATGTTTAATTTAAAAAGTGGCATTCATTAATCATTATAAAAATCTTTAATCAAGAAACATAAAATTAATTTTTTTAGTTGATTATTAGACTAAGGAAAAGAAAATTGGTATTAGGGATTTCCAAAAGGCTTGAGTTAAAGACATGAATTAAAATCAATAAACTAACATGAATGGGAGGATTTGTATCAGATCTCTCATCAATAATTCTCATACAATAAATTTTTGTTAAATTTATTTTATTTTCTAAAATATATTTAACTATTCCAGTAAGTTTTTTTTCCAAAAACTTTTTTTGAAGCTCCATTTTAGCATATATAATAGTCACCAAAAATGATAGAGTCAAGCAAATAGTAAACATAAATTTTATGGATTTTTTTTTATGATTTTTACAAGTAATTGATTTTGTTTCACCATTTATACTCATAGTATTCCAAGAAAAAATAAAATTGAGAAAGTGATAAAATATAGAGCAGGAAGGCGCCCTGCCCACTTTTGATTGACCTTTCCATGTTTGTATAAAGACGTTATAGTATTTTAGTTATCTTTTCGCTATTAAATGATAACATTATCATCACAAGCTCACTTTGCATTGCTTATCCTAGTTAAAATATTTGCATTAGCTTGATTGGGAAAGGAATGTAATGTAAATGTATATATTTATGTGGGTGTTTTTTGGATAACTAAATATGATAAGAAAAAATTAGGGCTTGAGTGCTACCATCCAAAATAAAGAAAGAAGAAATAAAATATTTATTTATAGTAGCATATGTAGATGCAATAATATTTAGATTAATGTTTTTATTAGTAAGCTAAAAATATGGTCGAATATTGTGACCATTATAGAGTGTGAAAAAAATAATAATAAAAGTTACCTCCACTTTATGTTTATTTTTTCTTCTTTAACTATCATGAGGGCTATATAGTGGATTAGAAAAGGGCTAGATTAGAAATTGTCAAAATGTCTGAAGATCTTAGGTATGTGGAAGCATTATAAGCTATTGTATCATCAGTCACATAGGGTTTATGATTCTATTTGTAAATCACTCGTTGAAAACTATATTGCCCTTTTCTTTAAATATATATGATTAGCAAAAAATAATTTGATTAAGTAATATTTTCTTTGTTCTACAAGAAATAATTTTAGGTTACAAATAAATACTATTAATATCAAAGAGCTATATCTTTGTTCTACATGAGATAATTATTCTTTAAAACCTATATCTAAACCTCTTTGAGGAGCATAAGCACTTATAATATTATAAATCTTAGTATCAACAACAATCATAAAGGCTATATTTTATCTCCAATTCTATTAATTTTCACAACATTATTTTTTAAACTTTTATCTATAATTACACTTTCATCATTTCTAGTGCAACTTCTACCTAAATACCAAAGTTTAAAACCTAAGCTATCAATTTCCTTAGTCTTTTCTCCAACCTATTTTCTTTCCTAAATACAAAAGATATTTATCTTTTTATGAAAGTTAATATCAACTAATTTCATTAATTTACCTGTAATGCTATCTATATTCCAAGATCTTATCCTAATATCAGTTTCATGGGCTAATTCTTTACCTGCATTTGTTTGTAATGTGGGAACACTAGCTTATTTGACACTACACTAAGGAGACAGTGCAGCGACCCTTGCACATTTTTCACTATATTCAGACCATATAGTGTGTCGCTTCCAAAGAACACCCTAACATTTAAACAAGGATAAAAAAGATTCATGTCATGATTTGTCAACAAAATTTATGTTGATTGTCGACTGCCTAACACAACTCTTCACTTTTTACATCCAGAGCATGAGACCCGACAATGACAGTGCTAATTGAAACTTAATTATTTTTTGAATTCATTTTTGTAGAAGTTAGAGTTAATCAGAAATTTCATCGATTGATTAATTTTATTTGAGAATAATATCTATATTAGTAAAGCAAGAGAAATAAATGCTCACTAAATTAAGGCACACTCCATGTTAAAAAATTAATAAAAAAGAATTGAAAAGTTTCTGTAATTTCTTAGAATTGTTTACATATTAAAAAAGTAAATATTATATTCAATACAAAGTGACATTGCTTAAGTTTCAAGGGCCCTGGGAGTATTGCTTGGATGATAATTTTTTTTTGCTGTCATTGGTTGGTGATAGCATCATGTATTAGTGTAAGAAATTTGGCTTATCCAATTAAAAATCTGACTTTTGATAAGGGGCACAATTATTTTGTTATAATCTGCAGTTTTCTTGATTACCGTCAAATAGTTGATAAAATGCAGTTCATTGATGTTTCATTTGAATCATCTCCTTAATTTGGTTTTATCATCTCAATAAAAGTATGAAATTCATATCAGTTTTCTGACACGTGAGCTAGTTTGGATTTGTGTAGCAATATGTGGTACTTCATTTTGCTTATCCTCAATTCGATATCTCAATTATATTGATTAAATTGGAAATATATAGATAATATCATGAATTGAATCTAATTTAGTATGAAATAGATTGAAATTCTGCCTTAAAAAACAATTTTTGCAGTAACAATTATCAGCAGGTATATTAAAGTGTGCTTGTAGTGGGATGGTGTTTTTCTTTGTCCATCTCTGAGTATCTTAGATTTGAAATCTTGAATGCAAACTGATCTATTACGAAGTTTAGACCAATTAATGCTATTTAAATGTTGGTTCGATCGATGTTATTGTGCGATTATTTTATGGATATGTTATGCTCTTGTTTGTTTATTTACATGATTATCTGTATAAATTATTGATATATTGAGTGACATGAAATTAGTTATGGTAACTTCAACTATTTGTTGGCATCAACATTTTGGGCTATCTTTCTGTTATGACATGATTCCAACAATACCATCTACAACTCAAGAGAAATGAGTAATAAAAATCTGATTATTAATTTATATTTACTACCATTAATCATGATATTAATAAATCCAAAACTAAAAATTTATGCATAATTCAGATATTTAGTCACCGGATGAAGCAATAAAATCGTTGCCCCTGCTCTACCAATGACACCCACCAATTACAGATTGACATATGGTTATATGGCAACACTGTTCAGTTTGGAGATTCCAATGATAAAGTTAATACCACAAAGTATAGATCAATATGACCTTCGGTACAGAGCTGAGGACAAAAAAACGCATTGTCACTCCTAGATGTCACAGCCACGGAAATGTATCCACTTATAAAACATCTCTCAGCCATTCATTTCATTTCTTATAGCGTAGACTTCTTAAAACAATATCCAACACCAGGACTCACAAAAAAGAAAAAAAAATGGAACAGACTTCTCTTTTATTTATTGGTCTTCAAAATCTGTAAGAGAGAAGATGGGAAGGAGGTGTTCTCGTTGTGGAAACAATGGACATAACTCGAGGACATGTACAAGCTCAAGAAATATGGTGGGAGTAGGAGAGCTGAGGCTATTTGGGGTTCAGATTCAATTAGCTTCCACTTCTACTAGGAATAAAAGCTTTAGTTTGGATTGCTTGTGTCCTTCAGGTTATAGTGCTTCGGCTTCTTCTTCATCATCTTCATCTTCGTCTTCTATTTTCTGTATTGATGAAGGTGTTGAGAAGTTCTCCAATGGTTATCTCTCGGATGGTTTGCTGGTGAGAGTTCAGGAAAAGAGGAAAGGTGAAAATTTCTTTTTGGTTTTAAATTCAGGGTCCGTTATTTCATTTGTGCTGTTTTTGTTCATAGATTTCAATCTTATTTCATGAGATTTATTTACATCATATTGGTCCAGTTAGTGGGAATTATTCCATGAAGGTTAATATTTTTAGACTGAAAATATCATTAGAATAATGTTTTCTGAAAAATCAATGAAGTCAATTTCTTCAGCATGTTTTTTCTTTCATCAAAAATGATTTTTTTGAAGTCCCTAGAGCCGGTCTTTATTTATCTCTATCTTTCATTAAAGTATTCTTTCAAACGTGTTGTTCTCTTTCATTAATCTATTTGATTGTTTCAATAAGTCTCTTCAGTTCTTAGACATCTCATGTAAATCTACACTTAGATAAACAGAGAAGGATCTATAAAAAACTCAAATGAAATTTGATGGTATATCATATTCATCATGACTTATATTTCCAAATTTCCTTTGCCTTACTTAATGTGTATATCTCATCCTTCATTGCTATCATGTTTTCTTTTCAATTAAACATAGAATATGGCTGGTACACCACAGCTTTCTCATTTGTACTTAATATTCAATTTGCAAGCCTTGATTTCAATTATTCCATGCTGGTGCGCTATCTTATGCACATTTTCTTAAAAATTTCTTGATTAGGAGTTCCTTGGTCCGAAGAAGAGCACAGAGCTTTTCTGGCTGGACTAGAAAAACTTGGTAAAGGTGATTGGTGCGGTATCTCTCGCAATTTTGTAATCACAAGAACTCCAACCCAAGTTGCCAGCCATGCTCAGAAGTATTTTCTCAGGCAGAACAGCCCTGTCAAGAAGAAACGCCGGTCTAGCCTCTTTGATGAGGTAATCAACACCCAAACATGTTTCTATTTTTTCCTTTTTCCTTTTTGGCTGATGCAAGGAGCTTTTACAAGGGAAGCAGAATCTGTTTATTGAAGTATAATATAGTAATTCTATCAAAACTTAAAAATTTTATTTTTCTGTGAAGAATAGTGCCTAATAAATTTGTAAATTGACCAACAATAAGAAAATCCCAAAATCTCTTATTGCTTTATTTTGTGAAGCTTTACTTTCCCATATTTTACCATTTCTGCTTCACTGCTGCTTCTGCTCAATAAAATTCTTCAATACCACATGCAGGTTGGAGGTTGTCAAAGACCACATCATGCCAGTGATTCTTCAAATATCAAAGATCCTTCATTCGTAATAGATCTCAATATTTCAGAACAAGAGCCGAGTTCACCGCCACATGATTCACTCGATTCCAAACTCATCCCAAATTCTTGATTTGTGGCTCACTGTGTCTTCCACCAGGCCTTTGCTTCAGAGCAAAGCATTGCCTGTACATCTCTTCCTCAGTGCTGTTGGAGCAGTTTAACAGGCTTTAGATTTCTTTGTATGAATGGAACGTAGAAACTGTTTTCGTTTATATATATATATATATATACATAATTTTTTTAAAAAAAAATTCTGGGGACTGTAATGGCAAAGAGGAAGTTCTTAGGAAATTGCAGCTTCAGCTCTCGCTTATATATATTTTTTTCTTACTTTTTGTTTAGTTTATAATATCATAATTCGTAATAAAATTTTTTTATAATTTTAGACAATATTAATACTCAAAAACATAGTCGTTAAATTTAAATTTATGTAGGACTAATCATAATATCTTACAAATAATTATAAAGTACACTTGCAGGAGAAAGAGGAGAGAGATAAACTGAGCCAGAGAGTAGCTTTAGAAATCACACATAATTCCTATCAAAACGTATAAGCTGCTGTCAAACAATGTTGTGGTGTGTAAGACTTGTTCCTTGGCTTCTTTTTAGAGCCGTTGTTTAAGGTGTAGTGATCTAGTAACAGCTAAATATAAGCATATTATGTAACAGGGCTTAAAAGGAACTTGCTGCAAAATGACTTATTACAGAAAGATGTTAGTTACATATGTTGATTGAGGAATTATAAATTATCAGAAGTAGGCTTCAATGATGATATCTCTAGCAATTTCATTTTGAATAAGCCAGCATATTTTGATAGTTGGGAGACATTAACTTACGGAGAACAATTTTAGTGGGAGAGGTGTTCTTTTGATTTTAATTGCCAAAGTTCTTGATGAACAACCAATTGCATTTTATTTCAGTTTTTGGTTTAGTGGATTCGGGTGACTTTAAATGACTTTTTTTCTTCAAGGATCTAGAGTTTTAAGTGAGTGAATTGACATGTCTAGCAACTTAGCTAAAGCCAATTTAGAATCGCAATCAAAGTTGATTAACTAGAGCCTCGAAACATTTGGTTTACATTAGTTCAACAATAATATGTTCTTTAAGAAGGAAAGAAGAACATGAGAATTAGTTTAAGAAAAATTCAATTCAACATAAGTTATTGACAAAATACAAATTCTTTTATACCTTTTTTTTTTTTTTGATTTGTCGACATATCAAATAATCAAATTATATAAGAATCATTAAGAACTCGCTTCAAGATTTTCATTTATTTGTTTTGAGATTTTTTGTTCAAATGAAACTATATAGAAATTTAAGAAATTTATAATCAAAATTTTTTCTATAATGTTGTTAAAAACCTTTTAAAATGGGAAAAGCATAAAGCTACTGATGTGTCATCTTCCTTTTTCCTTTATGATAATATGAAGAAAATTATTCAAATAAAAATCTTATGACTTCTTCTCAATTTTATAAATTATAAACATTTCTTATTATACATTAATCTCACTCAGCATACTGAGCTGAATAGAGAAGTTGAGTATGTACTCAGGAAAAATTATATACCGAAAAAATATCAGTCGTTGTGCAAACAAATCTTATGAACTCATATAAGAATGACATAAAATAATTTGTGCTAATACTCAAACCAATAATGAAATTACAATTAGACATAGGATATCTATACCTTTATTTGACTATTTGTTGGATTTGATTTTATGCTCTAATTATTTTCTTAAATTGTTTCATAAAACTTTTATTGCTATGCTAGGATTTAATCAAAAGAATAATAAAACATTATTTATAGGATCACTTGATATACTCCACTAGTAATTGGTAATGTCATTTAGAATATTTAGTGTAACTACCGCAACTATGAGTTTATTAACTTCTTAAAATCTTTAATAAGAGAATTTTATGTTACTTAATTTGATTATTTCTTATTTTTCATCGAAAGTGCGAAAAACTATTTGCAACGCCATAAATAATACTTAAAGTCTTTAAGAAATACTAGATATTCATCCATAGTGAAAACAATTCTTATTTATAAATTGAGTTAATTTCTTATGATTCATTATTTCTACTAGTTAAATGAATCATGACTAATATTTAAGATTCCTCATCACTCGAGGCTTTCAAATAAGTACACATTTGTTATATTTATCTACTTTTTTATAAAAGATTCTTTGCAAATTTTAGTTTAGTCATTTCCCTAATCATTGATATCCTCGACTTCAAGAGTTTCCCTTTATTTTGAGGAAAAACTTAGCATATCTTATTATGATCATGATTCTCTTGTTATAGTACTAAAATGTTTGAGAATAATGGATTCCATCTTTTTTTTTTATTATTTTTAGAGCATGTGGTTTTAAAGTGCTACCTTTATGAAGGTTATCACTAATTATTGGATAGCCCCAAAGGTCAGCTTAATTCAAATATACTAGTACGACCAAATAGTATCATAAACTTAAAAGCCTTAAACAAGCTTTTAGGTAGCAAATAAAATACTATTTTTTTGTATCATATATTGTAATAATAGGATTTATGAAGAGTTTGTGCTTCATCTTGGAAAACATTTGCTAAGAATTTTCTAATTGAAATTACAATTACAAAATGAAGCAGCATAAAATATCTTTGATTCTCAAGATAAAAAAAAATTTACTATAAGCCAAAGGTTAGCTTTAAAATTTTTATTATTGGTTCTAATAACACTAAGTACAATTAGTTCTTTGTAAACATAAGGAGAGCCACTAATTATATTTATAAAATTTGATTAGATTCTAAAAGGTAGTCTTCTAGTAGTAAAATTGTTGCCTCTTTTATACTGAAATGTTTCCTTTCCTTATGTAAAACACTCAAGTCATTTATTTTCTCATTCATCATCAATTGAACTCTCTTATTCTTTATGAGTTGGACAGTGATTCCATTTATTCTATCACTTAAAAGATGAGATTAAAACTATTCTTACGAAGATTAGTAATGATTCTATTATAAGATTAGAAGAATTCACATTTCTTTTCTTTTGAAGATGTTGGCTCTTTATTATAGAAGATTTTATTAAAGATTAGGTTTATACTTTTTTCTCACAACTTACATATCTATCGGTGATAGACAAAATGTATAAAAACTTAATGGATCTTAAATTGGATTATATTCCTTAATAATCATTAGCTTCATCTTGTGATCCACCAACACGGTATTTTAGGAAAAAAAATATATTCTCCACCTCTTAATTTGGAACATACCATGTATTCTATTAATTAATGGCCAAATGATTGATTGTGAAATCTAGCGCAGAACAAAATATGTAGAACCTATAATAGGATGACTCCACTAATTTTCTAACAACCATGTCCAACTCAATAAAAAAAAATGTATTTATCCAATAACTATAATATGTTTTAGCTCATGCTTGATAAAATAAAAAAATATAGCAAAAGAAAAATCTAAATATGGTTATAATAAAAATCAAGTAGAAAAAAAATTTATAAATTAAGGATAGGCTTTTTCCTGAAGCCTCCAACAATTATCTATTTCCTAACATCCTAATTTTTTTATATGCTACATTGACTCTTAAATACTTCAAGGAGCCTAGAAGATAAAATTCAAGAATCCCCTTTGGTCGTACAAAAATTCTTCTAAATCATCCTGATAGACCTTTTATAGATGGCAACAAGAAATTCTCAAAACTTGATTAGTGCCTATGATGAAATTATGATAGATTCATGATTGACATTCCATAAGGTCTATGCACTAACCAAATTATAAGTGTTCTTGAAAATATTACTACAATTTTTATTCAATTCATAAATCATACTATTATGGCAGTATTAGTTTTGAGAGGTTAATTAACCTATTCATTTAGTGTTTTAGAAATAACTAAAAAATTTATTGAACAACTTTGAGTTCTTATAATGTTTAATATGTTGAAGTTGGACTATGCAGTAAAACCCTTTTACATTCAACCACCCTCTTTTTATGTAAGTATAGTGAAAGTATGTGAATAGTCTATGTTCTATTTATATGAATATGAACCATTGCAATGGAGATCATCATACAACATACTTTTTATAAACATTGGGAATCCTCTATTTAAAGAAGAATATGAATAGTTAAATAAGAGTTTGAGGTTCTTATACAATGGAGAATTAATAAGTTCACCTCATTCCCTTTTGCAAGATAAATTATTAAGTATATGTTCCATTATTTCATTACAATTTATGCATTCCACTTATAGTGTCAAAAATTACCATTTCATTCAAAATGGTTTTTTTAAGGATTACACAAACTACATGAGTGCTTACATACCCATAATAATGATACTATTGCTCTTATTTATGTTGATAATGGGGTTGAAAAAATATTATTTGGTATTGCTTCATATTTTTAATGTATTACCAACACATGCTTTTGACAATATATTTCTACGGAATAAGCGTTCCCCAACATTTATAAGACTTATTAGAAACAAGCTCTTACAGCTTCTTTTTCTTTACTTCATTGGAGAACTTTATAAGTTACATTATTGTGGACAATATTTACATAAGAAATGCTACAAGTTTATCACAAGGAGTTTTGTTTTTTTCACTTTGAAAATATGTGAAATGTGTTTATGATTGAATGTGGGTTCACTGTATTCTTAGTATAGTGTGACATTTTCAACATTTTAATGGCCACTCCTGCTTTGTTGGTTGACTGCTAAAAAAAATAGCTAAATTGAAACTATAATTTGTGTCATTATTTAATTGTAGTCAAATTTGAGAGGAATGATGCTAACATCATGAAACTAAGATGAATCATTGTAGAAAAAGTGTAAGTGTTGTTGATAAAAAAAATAAAATTACTTTTCAAAGTTTCTCACCTCTTTAATTTTTTTTTTTGATCTTATAACTTGCCCAAACTCATTAATATTCTTATTAATAATTTGGTTTGTAACATTACATTAAAATTTGCATATTAGATTAAACACAAAAGAATTATATGAACGTGAATAATAATGTTTTAATGTGTATAAGCCATGTGGTTATCATGACCTTTTTAAGAAAATCAATGGACGAACTTTTATTAGCAATTTCAAGCTTTTTTTACTCTACTCTATTTTATGTGTTTAACAATTTTCTCCAAATTAATGTCTTAAGCACTAAAAAATTTTTAAAATTCATAAAGTTTAGATTAGTTGGGTGCTTTATTTTTAATTTAACTGGTTAGTAGGAACT